TATGTATATATTTTTGGTTAAGTTTAAGTTTTTCATCTAGAAGCTTATTATTATTTCAGCTTTATTTCAATTACTGACAATTATTTTTAATAGTTTTAGTAAAAAATTTAAAAAAACTTGTTTTTCTAAATCACTAGTTTCTGTGGTAATCGACAGTGTGTCACAGTTTCTTAACTTATTATGAGCGTGGAACACTCTTTTAAGGCTGAATCCCAAGTTGCATAGTTCTACTACCCACTAAAAGTGTTTACTTCACTGGTGATAGGAAAGTACGTAGTGAGACACCACTATTAGAACCTACTATATCTTCTAAAAAGTGTGTTGTTATTACCATCATACGTATCACGTTGTTACATTATTCATCTAGCTAAATTCATTACATTATTATGTATATTTAAATTCTGTTTTGGCATCCCATCCCCTGCCATTTTTGAATGCCAACCTGAAAAGTCTTCTGTTGCACAGAAAATTGTGGGTTATATTAGCCACAAGCATATATTATTTCACTGGAAATAATTCCTTTGCCATACTATGTTCAAATACTGCGATTTTGAACGCATTAATGCTAACATCACTAATTATTTAGTATGGACACAGGACACAGCCTTGGTTTGGGACAGACTGATGTGACAGCAGCACAAGGGCAGCTTCTGCCGAGCGTGTGCACGCCTGTGTGTCCTGCGTGTGTGTGTGTGTGTGTGTGATAGACACAGGATGGCAAGGGTGCAGACCATTGCAGCTGCACTAACATCAGCTGACTGTGTGAGATGCAGATGAGTTAAAGTGACCAGTCGTGGGGAAATATTAGCCCTCTGAGTTGTTGCATGGCAGATAAGTTGCATATACTCACACACTCAACATGCATTCATGAGTTCATGCCCCATGCAGAAAGTGATCTCATCCCATCTAACGTTCTTTGGGGTTGGTTCTGTGTGCTGATGGCTGGCATTTTAACGTCATGTTTTGCGCTTGTTTTCCAGTGCTGCATCCCTATAGACACATCCTGGGTCTCTGGCAGCCTGATATCGGGCCCTATGGAGGACTGCTGAATGTGGTGGTATGATCATACACACACACACACACACAAAATGATTACAAATGCAAAAAATAAAGCTGATATTGGTGGAAAATTACATGTGTGAATTTTCATAATTCGAAACTCTTGCGTGTTGCGATAATGATTATGGTGATGAATATCATTATATTAACACAGTACAGCTGTATTGGGGCATATTAATATGCCATAGCATTTTACAATTGAAAAAGGTATGTAGAAATAAAAAAAAAAGCATGACAAAATTACTAAAAGTTAAAACGACTAAAATAAAAATATTAAAATATCATTACTAAGTTGACTAGATTTTCCAGTTACAGTCTTGTTTTTAAAACAGGCAGCATTTGCAAAATCCTGTTGAATGAAGCTAATGCTAATGTAGCATTGTGAAGTGTGATTCATTGCAGTGAACTGGTTGATTTAAATGTCATTTGAGTACATATCATGATAGCTAAATAGCTTTAATGTTGTTAGCTAATAGCATTAGCATACATGTAGCTTGTAGCATACAGTAGCTAACTAAAATTTCACTTGTTTTACTCTAAATTATGTAGCTGGTTGCTAAGCTACATTTTCTAATTACTTTCCAAACACCGTATGTCAAGAAGTGCACTTAATTGTACTGAATGTGCACTTTTAGTGTACTTCAGATTTTAAAAGTATGTAAAAAAAAAAAAAGGGGGGGGGGGGGGGGGGGGATGAAAAATTTTTTCTCTACAAAAGGGGGGCCCGGCAGAAAAGGTTTGG